TTTTTCTAATTAATGATTTCGATAGATCCAAAAATGAAATTAAATCATTTTTTTCTTTTTTTGACTTGTTGCTCTCATCTAAATCAATTGTTTTTCTTTTTGACTTGTCTCTTATCCTTTGAATCTATTTAAATTAATAGTTAAAAAATTATAAAACTTTTAATTTTATACTGATTTAAGTTAATCTCTTCTCTCTCTTTTACATATATATTTCTTGTTTGAAAGTTTGAGCTAGATCAGGTGTTTCTATGATTGGTTTTCGGCTTACTATGAACATCCAAGCATATGTGATGTTTTTCTTTTTATAATAAGTAGATGATACCTTAATGTTAATGAAAGTTGTTTTTCATAAAAAAACATGACTATTAATTTTGACTTTCTTACCGTTTATATTATTATTATTATTATTATTATTATTATTATTATTATAGAAAATTTTCTCGTATACATTGGAGAACCCTTGACAAGCAAATGATGCAACAATCAAAAAAAAAAAAAAAAAACAAGCATTCAATGAAAAAATTTCTAGCCAAAGATTTCTTTTAGGTTTTGAGATTAGAGATTTTAACTATTCTTGTTGGGTTTCTAGGTTACTTAAGAAAAGGAGTTTTTTTTTTTTTTTTTTGGTAGTATCAAGTTGTTTAAATGGTGGCTGGAGTTATTTTAGGGTGGTTAGATCTATTAAATTTTAAAAGGTTTTTGAGAAATCCAAGTTAAAAAAGTAAAAATAACAAAATAAAAAAGAGATTTTTTTAAGCTTTCTTTACCAGTGAATGATGATGGACAGCAGCATAATTGAATTTTTCAATGTCAAAATTTGAGTTTAATGTTTTTTTTTTTTAATTTTAATTTACAAAAGACCGTTTAATATTTTGATCATCAAAATCTAGGTTTTTTGTTGGAATTTAGGTTGGTTGGATTTTTCAATACAAGAGTCTAAAAACTTTGAAGTTTTGGACGTTGGAATGCAATGTGTTTTAAAGATAGGAGAGAAAATAGGGAAGAGACAGAAACAAAAGGAAAAAATAAAGGAAAAAATTTGATTTTCAGTTTTATTAAAACTTTCAAATGTCATCATTTTGAAGAAGCAGATCTACTTAAAGATTTATGCATTGACCCACGAATAACTCGACCCAATCATGATTTACTCTAGTTGGTGACAAAACTTTTTTGTTTTATTATATTATATTATTTATATTTATTTTTTTGTTTATTTATTTGTTTTATTTTTACTTTTATGCATAATAAAATTTTAATGTTTAGATGAAATACTATTTTAATTATTTTTAATAGAAAAAAATATAAGTTAAAAATGTAATTTCATAATATTAGATAATTGTAAATATAGTTTGTTTGTATAGTTATTTTATTTTATCATGTAATTTTAATAAATTTTGGAATAAGTGGAAAGTTAACCAATGATGGAATGATAAAGAAATTTACGGGTGAGTAATTTTTTTGAAAATTTTTAGGAGAAAAAACTTTTCTAAATTCTAACAAAAATGTTGGACAATTTAGGAAATAATTTTAATGGCAAAGATATTCATTTATTAAAAAAGATAAAAAAAATTAAAACGATAAAAATGTTAAAATATAATTTTCAAAATTTTAATAAAGATTGGAAATTAATTCTTATTCATAAAATATTTAATAAATCCGACAATAGAATATTTTTAATAAAATTGATATTAATCATATGCTATCCTAAACCTTAATAATTTTAATTTATTTTTAATTTGATCTCTTTTCATGTCCATTAATTCATGGGTTTATATTTGTTTTATTAATATAAACTCTTTATTCATTTGTTTTTATTAATATTACTATTCTTTTGATTCTTTGTAAATGTTTATTTAATTGAGTGTGTTAGGATTTTTGAATGAAATGTTGAGAGGTTTATTTATTAATTCATACACTATATTTGTATGTATTCATACATGAGCTCTATACTCAAGTTTTATCATTTTAAGAAGGAGTGAGAACCTACACTCTTATGAGATAATATCTTTCGTAAGAGTTAGCAAAATATTGTTACTCAAATTTAATTCTTTCGATTTTAAGCCTATCATTAGTAAGCATTGAGGTGCCTTGATGGATGATAATGAGGTGTAATTTGAGGGCTTTTTAGCTTATGAAGATATTAAAAACTTAACATGTAAAAAAAATTTAAGAAGTTAACCTTAAGATAGAGTTGCCAACCAACTATGTAAAAAATTCTACAAATTTGGAGACATGAAGAAACTTTTTTTTTTTTTATCTTTTACTTTCTTTTTTAGTAAATTTGATGAATTTAGAAAAATAAATACACACAAAAATTCAAAAAAAAAATTGATTGTCATTTTGTTTATGACCTTGGTCTATAATATTGTCTTAATTTGCTTGTTATGTTGTTTGCCACTTTGCATGCATTTGCATCACAATATAAGAAGAATTTGTCATACAACAGTTTTGGTATATACAAAATTTTAAAATTAAAATCTTTGGCTTGAAATTATTTTGTAATAAATGCTTTACAACATATTCATTCATGCAAACATACGTATTCATTTGATATAAAAAGATTTATTTGATTTTAAAATCTAGTTGAAATGATGGGATGGTTTTAAAATTGTCAAATCTTAAAAGTAAAAGAAAATATTGAAAATAATAAAAAATTAAAAAAATCTTAAAAAAAGTTGAGATGATTTTATATATATATATATATGTGTGTGTGTGTGTGTGTGTTTTATAAGCACATAATAATATAACATCTTAGTTGTGATAATAAAGATTTAAGAATAGCTCATTTTAAAATAATAATTCACTCGTCATCCTACATATAAATCTTGCAAAATTTTACTTTACATATGTTAATCTTTTTTTTTATTTGTTTTTTCTTTTTTATTTGCTTTTTATTTGTGTTTTTTTTTATATGTAATAAATATTTTTTACATTTTAATTTTTTGTGCATGAACCCCTTTTGAATGTTATATGTCAAGCCTTCTTTTTTTTTTGGTTACTTTTTCTTTTCTTCCTTTTTCTATTTTTATATTTAATAAATTTTTATTTAATAATTTTCTTTTATAGGATCCAATTGATATTAAGTGTCATGCTCTTTGTTTTTTTTTTTTTTTTTGTAAGAATAGCTCATTATTATTAATGTTGCATTGCAACTTAATTTTTTTTTCTTTTTGCGTTTCGTGTTTTCTTTTTTCTTTTTTTTTCTTTTTCTTTGTTCATCTTTTCATTTTTTATTAGGTTAATTTTTTAAAGAGAAAAAAAGCGTTGAATATGTCTACATGGCACCTTATTTTGTTTTTTTTTTTCCTTTCCTTTCCTTTTCTTTTTGTTTTTTAATTCGATAATATTACAACAAAAAAGTTGGTAAATAAATTTTATAATAAAAAAATCAATAGAATTATGAATGATAAAACAATTCATATCTAATGAGTTTTGATTTGTCTATATCATATATGTGTTTTTTTCTTAAATTGAGATTCAATAGTGTTTTTTTTCACAAAAATAAAACTTTGGTCAAATGCGAGTCCAATGTGTTTTCCCATCCAAATATAAATATATATTTTTTATTTTTATTTAATTATATATTTTTATATATGTATGATATTAATAAATTTATTATTTGATATTTTAATTAAATAAATTTAAGTAACATCCTCATTTGACTTTTTTTTTTTTGTCACTTTGTTGTTTTACGGGTAATCTTCATATACGCCCATTATAGTATGCATATTTTCCACATTTATGCCTAGTGAAAAATTTCTCACATATAATCCAGAGCTTGGTTAACATTACCAATGGGTTTCGATCCAATCGATTTGATAAGGGTGCAATTTTTTATCAGGATCAAGTTGAGCAAATAGAGTTTTTTTAAAGAAAAACAAGGCCAATTTGATGATGAATTATTAATGGTGCTTTGCCCCAATGCAACTCAATGTATATATAAAAATATGTATTATCCATAATATAAATTTTGCATATTTTACCATCCACGTGTCTCCCTTTTAACTTTTTTTTTCTTTTGTTTTCTTTTTTTTTCATTCGTTATCTTTTTCTTATTTTCTCTTTCTTAATTTTTTTTATATTCTTTTCCTTTTTTTGCTCTCCATATTTAACAAATAATATTTTTTAAAGATTTATAGTTAGACTCATTTTATATTATTGATTAAAAATATTTTTCTTTGTCATTTTTTTAGTTTTGCTTTTTGCTTTTTTTGTTTTTTTTAAATAGATGAATTTTATGAGAAAATAATGACAATTGAAGTGTCTACATAACACTCTCATTTGTTTTTTTCTTTCATATTTTGTTTTTATTTTTTTAACTAGATAAATTTGATAATAAAATGAAATGACTAATAATGATAGCAAAACAATAAGTATATGAAAGATTTCAATATATCTCAATTCAATATGTGTGTTTTTGGTAAAAAAAAAAACATTTCGAATTAAGTTAGATCAACTTTTTAAAAAACGAAGACGAGTTATAAATGAATTTAGCATGTTTTGTCCTAAGCCACCTTTAGTATATTTTATTATTAATTTAAGTTTATATTTATATATGTAATTAATAAAGTTATTTTTTAATATTTTAATTTAAGACCCCAATTAGCTATTTTTTCATTTTTTATTTTTGTTTTTCATTTTTTTGGTTTTTTTACTTTTTTTGTTTTAAGTTTTTATATTTTTATTAGATAAATTTTGTAAGAAAAGAGACCAATTAAGGTATTCATGTATTACTTCCATTTGATTTTTTTACTTTTTTTCTTTTTAATTAGGTAAATTTTACAAAAAAAATGATTATGTAAAAATTGTTTTGAATTTAATTTTTTAAAACCTATATCAAAACAATAAAAAATAAAAATAAATTACAAATTATTTAAAATAATTTAAAAATACTTATTTTAATTAATAAAACAATCGAATAACACTTGTTCCCCAGTTAGTATAAAAAAACAAAAAACCACAAACTATTAAGACAGAGAAGATGGAGGAAGCCCGAAAAAAGATTAAAAAGCAACGTACATTATACAACATTCCTGAAACAATTTGAACAAAGATAAAGCGGTGACAGAGGAAGTCACTATTCAAGATGGGTACCTATTGCACAATACTGAAGATCCTTTGTAAGTTCCCCATTTCGGTCCGTATCGCGTCCAAATATCTCAAAGGAATACAATTCGTCGAGGAATACTCATGCGTACTCTGTTATGACATCAACATAATATATATATATACATGTATATATATAGCTATCTTAATTATTTTCCCCAATTGGGTAGGCCTCGATAATGGAGGGCAAAGCAGGAATGTTGATGATTTTGTAACGAGGGAAGCCTCCTTCCTTCAATATTTTCTTCCATTCAAGCTCTGTCCTCTCTTTTCCACCAGAGGAATGTGCAAGCATTAGGAGATCGAATATCAGCCTCACGTCGTCAAACAGGGCACTACCATCTGGTTGCACAACGCATTCCACTAAAATGACTTTCCCTGTTTCCGCTGGAATTGCGTTTCTGCAGTTTCTTAAAATTTTGATGCAATCTTCGTCACTCCAGTCATGCAATATCCACTACACACAAACATATATAAAAAGGAATTTGTTAAGTTTGCTTAATTATCATCATATTTTTGTTTTGTTGTGAACTTTTTCTTTTTTTTTTTTTTATAAAAACTATTTTTTATCTGATATGCCAAAAGGATTTGCAATTAAAAGTTCAGTCTCATTTTTTCCTATTTGATTTTCCCTGAATTTAAGAAAAATTTTTTAATTTTATTGTCTTCAAAAAAGAAAAGATAGTATAATTAATTGATATAAAAAATTAAAATATCAAAAAAATTCTTGAATTATTTTACTTTTAAAATAATTATTTTTGTTTTGATTATATTCGAATAAATTTTTATTATTTAATTCATATCTTAATAAAATTTTATTTTAAACAAAAAAATTAAATTTATGTTAAAAGTTTATTTAATTACAAAGTAAAAGTTGAGAAATTATTTGGATGTAAATTAAAAATTTATTTGTGTATTAAAATTATAAAAATTTATTTAAATAAAATGGTGAAATTTATAAGTTTTTTTATTCACCTAAAAAAAATGAGAGGATGGTATGATTGACTTTTATCCAACTATCCTTCACCTACCTACCACACAAGGATAATTATTAGACAGAATTCAAAGAAAATATTGTTATGTTATCATTAGTTTTTGAGTTGATCAATACAACCATTAAGGATGATGTTTGGTTAAATCATGTCAAAAACTGTTTATACCTAACAAAGAAGAAATGTCGATGTAATTCTAATAAAAGATTAGAAACTCGTTTAACAGGTCTCACCTTCATGATAACTGCATCAGCTTTAGGGATGGACTCAAACATGTCACCTCCAATGTGGCGGACACCAGGGTATGTCGGTGCTTTCTCGACCACATGTGGCAAATCGAAGTTAGTCCCTTTGATGTGCGGATAAGCTTTCACAATCCCAGATATCAAGCCTCCTGTCCCACCTCCAACATCAATTAATGATCCTATGGAGCTGAAACCTTCTTTATGCCCTGATAGAATTTCCCTTGTCACCACTTTGGATGTACAGGACATGGCATCGTTTAAAAGATCGTTGAATTTAGGATTTCCTGATGCAAACTCAAATATCTCACATCCATGAGCCATCTTGAAAGCAGTGCCACCTTCTCTAACACATTGGCTAAAGTAGTGCCAGGGAGCCATTAGCCAGGGATGGTCCTGCATAAGTATCATGGGTGCCAGGCTTAGCTCCGAGTCATGTAGAAGCCATCTTGATGAGTGAGTCAGGCCATAGAGGGGCTCTCCACCGTCGGAAGGATGATGGACAGTGAAAAGCTTTCTCCGGACGAGCAATTTCATGATGCGAGCGAGGCACGTGATATCCGGAGAAGGACCCCCATCAAGACATGAAGCTATTTGTGCCAAAGTGAGTGGCACATCGTGGGAGTGTATTATATCAGCTATGCGGAGCTCCACAGCAAACTTGAGTGCCATGGAATCTGCAAAGCTGAACATGTATTGCCATATTGTGGCTTGGCTTTGTAGCGTCGCCTCAGCTTCTTTCGACTCCATTTAATTCGAGATATCCTTTTCGAAGTGTGATTCTTAATTCTAATGTAAAGTCGGCGAAGAGAGAGAATAAACGGGAGAAGTTGTATGGTGATAGGAGATACTTGGGAAGTCTGTTCGAGAATATGTGGAATTTAGGAAGAAGACGAAGGGACCCAAGCTGCCCCAGCTAACCACTCCTCATCCTCATCCAACAACTTTGTTTACGCCACCTATATGAATATTCTTACGTTTGTACGCGTGATAATTATGTGAATATTCTTACGTTTGTAGTTTCGGCAAAATTTGTTTATATTATTTTTTAGTTTAGATCGTATAAATATTAAAATGTTAAATTTTAGTTTAGAATTAATTCATTTAAGTTAAATAAGTTTATTTATAAATATTAAATAAATATGTTTATGAATATGTTAATAAAGATAAATTAATAGTTAAAAAATTAATTATGCAAATTAATGACTTCAACTCTCAAAAGTGAAGGAAGGATGCCTATTTATAAAGAGATTCTTTTCATGCGTTAGCTTTCTAAATTATGTGTAATAGAAATATTATAAGCAAAAAAAATATTTTTATAACTTGTTTATCATTTATTTTAGAGTATTAAAAATTATATTAACAATAATATTTTTAAAACATTATGAAAGATTTTTAATATATGTTAAGTATAGTTTTTAATGAATTAATATTAAATTATGATTAAAATTTTATTAGTAGATATTTAATCACAAGAAATAAAACAAAATTAAATAAATATTATTGAATTTGTTTATGAATGTTAAATAAATTTATTCTTAAATATAAATGAACGAAACATATTTTTATTCATATTCAATTTATTTATTAAATGAATAGTAAAATATAATTCGAAATCATTTATTAAAATTAATAAAAGAATAAAAATAAATATATTTATAAATAATTTTTTGAAAGCTTTTATAGTTTAAACCTTTGTCTTTTAGTATTTTAAAATTAATTAATATAATATTTATAATAATAATTTTATATTAAATATAGTAATTGATAATTTTATTCATAATTTTTAATATATTAAGTGAAGATGTTATTTTATATAGTAATTTTAAATAATGTCCTTAAAGCAATGATTAGCAAAATTCGTAATATAAAATTAAACATTTTACATAATTTAAATATATTTATTTATTTTAAGACTTTTCAATATTTGTAAATACAATAAAATTATGAACAATATGATAAAAAGTAGCATTCTTGTACAGGGGAAAATAAGTTTCATGAAAAAAAATAATAATAAAGCCTCCAGCATGAGAAACGTTTCTTCTAGATCCGGCAACGTATATCATCCAAACGCAATAATGACTCCCAATTAACAATATTTATATTGTCTCTCCAATTTGTTTCTGAGAAATTCAATGTTAAACAAACGTTTAGGCGCTTCTAGAACTCATGTCACATTCATTATCCAGATCAGATCCACATCAGTATTTTTGCAGATTAGCATTGAAAAAGGTTGAGGATTATGTTTCCAACACATCGACCTCACTGAGTTGCGTTACCAGAATGACAGCCTCAATGACTATTGAGCTTATGAATAATGTCTTAAAAAAAAAAAATCTTAGCATTCAATATTTGGACACATCAGATCATTCAGATTCAGAACAAAACAAGCAAAACTTGTTTCAAAATTATCATTTATGTATTCTACTTACACGTCAAAGGTTGGAATTTCGCATTTTTATACCTAAAACAGCATGTTCATGAAAAACCAAGTTCAAACCTGTAGCAGGAACTAGATAGAGGGCATCAAAATATTTGAATACGGCACCAGAGACTCAGGAACCCAAATTCTTGAAGCTTTCTGCATATTCATGAAACGAACCAACAGCGAGGCAGCAGCAATATGACAAGTTAATTCCGTCATTTGAGATCTATACCATCCACATGCCCACTGGCGGCATTGAGTACTGGCACTTCATGTTATCCCAATCTGATAATATAGCTAGTTTCAATCTGGTGCCTTGATAGCCTTGACGGTTTAAGCTTCTGTAGTGTCCGTTTCAGTGTGCAAATCTCAGCTGTAAAGCCTAAAAAAACCTGTCCTAGAATACGTTTTTAAAGTCTATAACAAATCAGTTAATAAACCATCAAATTTGGAACATCCCCATTATTTGGCAAAATTGTCCAAGAAGGATTAGCATTTTTGGTGGCTCCAAACAACTGTTGACAGAAGAGCTATAGGTATAACAGGTTGTAGGCTGGTAAATCCTGTATTCTGTGAACATCATCCAAAGAAAGTTCTCTCTGAAGTTGTGTGCGTGTTGCTTGTAAAACCTCCTGCAGGAATTGCAGGAATGAAAATAGTAGAAAATTAGGGATTGAAATAGCTCATTCAGAAAGATGAAGAAAAAAGAAGAGGTCAAATTACAGTAGTAATTGATATCGAGCAATAAATTATGATTCGGGAAAGGAATATACAAGGAGCAAGCATTATAGAAAAAAAATGAAGATGGGGGGGGGGGGGGGGGATTCAGCATAACTTAAGGAAGGAATGTGGTTTTATTATCCAGATGCAACAGGTCACATAGTAAACATGGGCAGGAAACATACAAACGGAAAATTCTCTAAATAAACCAGATCCTATGCAATACTCAAGATATTCAAAGAGTTTATTATTTTCCTTTAGATATTAAATTGTAGACCAGAAAGGTATATCCTACTGGATAATTGAACTCCATCCCACTCTAACAGGGGCAATTAACTAAAAGGAATAACGAGCCTTCCATAATCCATTGCTGTTCTGGACCATTTCATGTGTCTGATTGTTTTGGTGTATGGAAAGGTGCATTTTTAAGGTGACTAGGTCAGATACCATCATCATAAAAAAAAAAAATAGTTTCCAGAACATGATACAAAGAGTAAAATGCATTATCTGTGACATTGTTATAATATTTCATTTTCATCTAGACTTTTAAAACTCAATTTTTGGATTCTCAACCTTCTAAAGTATTCCAAATGCATTCATCCCATCAAACACAATTAAAAATTTCAACGTAACATGCCACCTCAGCACAATGTGGGAAAATTTAGCCCAAAAAATAAGCAGACCCACCTAACTTTGCCACATAAGTATTCACATGGAAATCCACACGGCATTGAGGTGAGAGATTATGTCAAATTGTAATGGAAGTGGATGGAATTAATAAATTTTTGGAACATTTTTAAAAAGCCACAGATCCAAAAACTGAGGTTTAAAAGTCAAGGACGAAAATGAAATTTTGTAGAAAGAACATGCATGTCTGATGCAATTTACTCTTGATACAAGCAAAGCTGCTACATACTATAAATTCCCAGCAGCCAGTGACTGTTAAGGAGGTTACTTAATATTTCACTAGATGTATTGATTGCCTATAAATCCTTTCTTAAGCTTTTATGCTTAAATACGACTTCCACATAAATCAATCAGCATCTATTTCTGTCTGGTCACCATAAAAAATGGAAAAGGAAGAAATAAATGGACAATTTGGATGGTTTGGGATTTCAAGTTTAAATGAAATTAAAATTTAAAAAAAATCCAGTGTTTGTAAATCCGTCGGAGGAAGACTATTTTCACAATGTGAATGTGAGAATTAGTCTGTAACGGAGAGAAAGGGAGAGAGAAGTACATTGAACTTCATGTAGGAAGCATGCATAGCAAGCCACTGAGCTTCCATCATTTCAAAAGCTATACAATATAGTACATCGAAGGCTTCTTCATCTTCTGCAATTTCAGACATTCAGATCATGATGTTTAATACAGAGAACTGAAAAAGAGAAATCAGTTATATAGATCTAACAGTGCTTGAGTCGAAAGAACTTAGATCCATGGTTCTGTTACCTCCTAATAGTTTTAGGAAATTGAACCCTGGGAGATTTTTTGGTTTTGCTGCAAAAACAGAGAGGATAGATTACAGAACAGCTGACGCATTTTATTTCTATTGATCTTAATCTATAAAAGATGTTTGCATTCTAACTAAATAGATCCTCTTAACATAGCAGAGCATTTAGAAACTTGCACTCTTGACTTCCTTGATAATAAATACTATATAATATCTGATCATCAAAAATATCAGGATTAACAAATTTTCAGAAGATAAAGATAGTCTACCGAAACTAAAACACAAGGCTTCCACAGTATTTTTCATGAGTAGAGGACACTCAAGAGTCAAGAGTTACCAGACAACAAAAACAGTTGACAGAAACACTTAGAACAACTTTATAGATTATAAACTAAAAATAAATATTGCTTTTCACTCACTACCTAGCACCATGGAGTTATCTTGAACTTACTTTTTAAGGAAAATAAGTGAACACGTCAATGACAAATAGTTAACATTGCTGACCAACCTGAATATAAATCCAACATCTGAATCAACATAAAAGATACATTGATGCCAGCAACGGCGAATGGGTATTCCCAAGTTGCTCTAGTTCCACCTTGTTTAAACAATAACCTATGGAAAGATGCCTTCATTTTGTATTTTTATATCATTAGTCAATAAGCCAATTTTCTTGCAGAAATCTAGACACACAAAAAGCCTAAAAAGAAACAGAAGGCTTACCGGGTAAGTTCGGCCAAAAAACAGCAAGTTTTCCAGAGCGATAAAACCACAACCCCTAAAGAGAGAAGTTCACTTTTAGAATAATTAATTTTGATTTTGAACATAGGAATTTGGGAAAAAGACAGTTTTACCAAGGTGTATTTGCCAATTACTGTGTGATATTTGTTGGACTTCCTTTCCAACTATCTAACCTCTACAGCATTAGAAAGAATCAAAACTCTTACCAATGTGCATTTGCACATATGTTCGAGTTATAAATCCATTCCTCATGTGTTAACAGTATATAAAGAACATATTCATCCTGTGGGATGAAACTATGACTAGAAGCTGCTGTTAATGACCAAAACTCCATTGCTTGATGATATCCTTTAAAATTAGATAATTCAGCATAGATTTATTACGGTTATGGGAAACAAAGTGGTAAATAAAACATATAATGGAAAACGTTATTCCCATATGATGTTTATATGGCCTGCAGAAGAAACTTATTCCTACTGTCAAGAGAACGTTTAGAGAAGAAATGACTACAACCTCTAAAGAAATATGTTTCCTCTGACCACGATTCATTGTTGGCAAGGGATAGATAGTGTGTTAAAAAGTCAGAAAAAATAGAATAAAAGAACTGTACCGAAAGTCAGTTGATGGATTAGGGCCTTGCCACCCCATTTCTTTCCACTGTTCAGAGATCAAGCCTTTCAGAGCAACATTAGGAAAAGCAATATGCCACAATGCTCTGAGAGCTTCCTGTCACATCAAAGAACCATAAGGTCAACTGTCTGCCAATTTATACTAATTGAAATGAAACATGATGAAGGCAGAATACTTGAAACCATAACTATTTACAAATTGTAGAAATTACATGACAGATCAATATATTTAGATATGAGATTTTACAAGAACTCTCAATTACTCCTCCAACCCGCATCCACCCCACCCCCCCACCCAAAATATATATATATATATATATATATATAAACTAATCCTAAGATTTAAATGGAAAACATGACCTGCTATTTTTACTTCCCTTTTGGTTCAATTACAGAAATAGTAAATTGATCCCAAATTAGTTCTTATCCACCATACCAAACATAGACCGAGAAAATCCAATTGCTTGTCATGTCTTGTGATAGACAAAAACAAGGTCGATATTTATTATGTATAACCAAGTCTGATCAAAGTTAGAAAAGATAAAGAAAATATGGATGTTAGAAGAATGAAGAATGTACCTGATGGTCAGGACTAGTCTCATCAAAAGGTATATGTATTCGTTCTTGGAGCTTTTTAAGTCTTTGTTCCTGGTCAGAAGTTAAAAAAACTAAATCATTTTTATTATTACTGAGGCTAAGAATGGAATATGGATTTATATATATATATATATATATATACATATACATATACATATACATATACATATTAATACAAATCACCCCGAGAAAATCAATATTATAATTCTGCATCAAATTGTCATTATTGCAGGACAAATCTCTCAGTGCATCTTCAAGCTGCAGCACTAAGAAATGACAGCAAAAAGAAGTTCAATTCTACTCAAATAAGTCTTATTTTCAATTGTAAACTATAGGGGATTGTTTACATGAAAATGCTGCATTGAATGGCTTATAACAATGTACATAGAAATTACAGGAAAACAAATAGTTTTATTATCAAAAATAAAATTACACATAACAAGGTTGAAAACATATATGTTGCAATCAGTCCTAATACTTGGGTAACGTTCTCAATTACCTGAATAGGAGTCAAAGGATAGTCAATAAACTTCTCATTACGCTTAATACTTAAGCGATTGAAGAGCCCTCCTATCAATGATCGTGATCCAACCATAGCTTTAGCTACAAGCATAGAAGACTGATCAGAGATATTAGAGAGTGAGTTGTACATAGAATGATTGGCTAGTTAATGTGCGTCTCAATGTTGAAATTGGTTGATGCAGCCTTAAACATTGCATATACACATTTGCCGCAGTTTTTCTCTAATTAATTTCTCTATGCTGCTTATTTTGTGACTTGAGACAGAGGAAAGGAGAAAAGAAGTAAAATGAACCTATAAAGAATAAATCCTAATAAAGAAAGCTAGAAAAACTGGAAAACTTTCTAGGAAACCAAATTTGCCATTAGCAATAGGTTATGCTGTATTCTGCACTCTAAGAAATTTTTAGCTCTCAGTATTTTGAAATGCCAATGGCCTGTCAGTATAAGCCTATTAAAACAAATCCCATGAGACTTCAATGTGAAAGATGAAAAGCTCAAGGAAGCTCAAATAGTCTTGGGAGATTAGACAATTCCAACTAGTTAAGGTCTACAATTGTTTTCCCTCTGTTTGGCTACATATTAAGCTGTCACAATGTTCATTTCAGTAAACATTGTATATCAATAAAGTAGGAACTGAACAAACATACACTTTAATGGCAAACATATAATGACAATTAAGACCATCTTAATCTGTCAACCATTAAAGGGAAATTCAGCCAAAGCTAGGAATGCTGAAAAAAGTTATCAGGAAAATCTACTCACTAAAACATTGAGCCAACTTTGTTATTACATGAGTGGAACTGCGAGGCCATTCCAACCCTTCACCGCCCTTCTTTTCTCTCCGGTAAACTTCATCCTCATCATGCTACATTTGAATTTTCAGCATACTATTCAGTACCAATTAGTTGCATAGAATAAAATGCCCTTGACCTGACAGAGAATACTAGGCTGCAAAATTTATGAACTCTTTTCATGACAGGTGCATGACTCAAATTTGGAAGCTAGTCGCTGGACATTGTGCCTCTACATAGATTGCTATAAAGATAATTAAGCTCTTAACTATTCATTATAGAATGTAATGAATTCATTCTGACAATGGAAAAAAAAAATGCCGAAAGTCGTTATGCTCTAGGAAAGCACAATTATAAAGTTACTGAAGTCATAATTATCAAATATCATTATGATCAGTTGATTCAGTTGAAATATTACATTTATAAAAGATTAATAACAAACACAGATTAAGCTAATAGGCATATGTAATTAATAGCGTTGCAATAGCAACACTAATCAAAATTAGAGAGACAGAAAAAGGGGAGAGGATTACTCTGTGGAGAGAAGAGCAAGAAGGAAAGCATTGCCGACGCTTCCTTATTCTCATGAGGGGACCAAAAATAAAAGATATAGATTCTTACATTCTTTTTAACCGAAAGCAAAAGGAATAGCAAATAAAAAAAAGATCCAAAAAGGATTGAAGAAATGATTGCAGTAAACTCATGGTCCATCCCTTTCCCTTCTCATTATTCAACCCCTCATCATTCCATCTCTCTGAAAGAGAGAGAGAGTCAAGGAATAGAATAATGACACAAATACAAAGATACCCAGAAAACGAAAACAAGCAAACTTTTTTGTTGAGAGCAAAACATCAAGATCGCAACCAAACCTCACTTTTTGCGTAACTTTATGCTGTGAGAAAGGTTTTTTGCATCCCAAAACAACAAATTCAAGAAAAAGCTTGTAATGCATAAGAAAGAAATGAAAAGAGGAAAAGTCGTAAAAGATAATAGCACATGTCTCTTCTCTGGAAAACATTGACATGCAAGACAAAAATCACACCCACAACAAACGCACGCATAAGGAAAAAGAAAGGGTAAAACCTTTTATTTTGAAAGAGATTCTCTGCCTGTTATTGCATACGTTGGGAACAAATTTTGGTGATTGTGTCCTGGAGGGGGCCGGTTGGGCAAAAGAGTGGGGCCATAACTGATTGAGGCAGGGCCGCAGAGGGTGAGGGAGAGAGAGAAAGAGAAAGAGAAAAAGAAGGGAAAGTGTCAAATCCCATCCCAAATTAAAAAATATGTATGTTTGAATCGTATATAATATCATATTATAATATATATATATTATATATATATGATAAAATTTATTTAGGTATATAATTAGGTGAATAACTTATATTATTAATACGATAGTTTTAAATAATTTTATTCCATTAATTTTTAATTTTTAAAAATTTAAAAATTTATATTTATTTAAATCTTTCAAAATATATAAAATTTATCTTAATTTAAACCTAATAAAAGATATCTCTTACCTCACTTTTATCTATGTATATGAAATATAAAATTTAAATAATTTTTAAATATTAAATTCTTAAATCTTAAGAACCATAAAAAATTATATACCAATTAAATCAATATTCATATAAATTTAAATAAATAAAATTTGTGATTGAACCACTATTATTTATTATTTTATTTTATTTTTTTATAATTTAAAATAAAAAAGAAAGATATTTTATTTCAATTTAAAATTTCACACATAGTTAAATTTAAAATTATACTAACCTCTTTTATCTTATTAAAATTAAACTTAGATAAATTACATTTTTAAAAATTTAAAATTTTTTTAAATTAAATAATTATCAAATATATATTTATGATTTTTCTCACAATCAAATTTTTTTCTTTATAGAAGATAGAATAATTAGTTTTTATCATAAAAATTTGACATCATAAAGTTTTAAAATTAAATATGAAAAAGTCTTTCATGATATATCACATGTATAAATCTTAGTTTTTATAATAAAATAATATATGCTTTTAAAAATGTATATAATTGTGAACAAGAGGTTAACTTTCTCATTAAGATTTGTATGTAATTTTACTTTCATTATTTAAAGCTTTTATAATATTTATTTAGATTCTTTCCTAATAATTTATGTATAGAAAATTTTTATAATTTTAAACTATAAATTATAGATGATTATGAATATTTTTATTTATCTATATGTAATATAAAAATTAGTATAAATTAAAATTTTAAAATTTGACAAATATAAAAAAAAAAATTTCGTGCATGGCACAGATAAAAAAACTAGTTGAATTATAAAATTTACCTATCATTTACGACTTGGCTAATTAGTTATCTTTGTGTAAAATGTTTTCTAAGATGAGATTAACATTCAAGCCATTCATGTGTAAAATATTCTGATACTAGATGCATAGGTGCGTTATTGTGGGTCAAAAAGAAAAAACTTTTTTTTTTTTATTTTGCAATCTTTATACAATGTTGTTTTTTTTTTTTTTTTTGTAAAATTTACTTAATCCATTAAACCAAAAAAAAAAAAATGAAAGGTAAAAGAAGCCAAATGGGATGACACCGGATATTTCAATTGAAATTATTTTCTCGTAAAATTTATTTAATAAAAAATAAAAATTAAAAAAATTCAAGTAAAGAAAAAATCAAAATGAAAAAAAAATCATAAAAGGCATAAATGGACACCCATTAAATGTAAAATATTAAGATATGTTTGGCACATAAGATATGATAAGATAAAATAACATAATATTATTAATTAAATTAAATTAAATAATATCATTTTATTTTGTATTTAATATGTACAAAGATTAAAATAAGATAATTTATTTATTAGTCAAAATTATCTTTCCCTAAAGCTATATAATTTAAATTATTGATATAATTTTTAAAAATATAATAATATATATAAATTTAATCTCATTGATTAAAAATAATTATTTTCACTTTCAGAAATATTAAATCATGTTATACCAATAGGATGGTTAATCCTCATTGTAATCTTATCTCATTTTTTAGATACAAAATAAATATGATATATGATGATTATCATCCTATATATCAAATATGATCTTAATTTTTTAAATTAAAATATATATAAATAATTAACTTTATAATAAAATATAAACTTTAACAAATTCGCAAAAAATGAATTGGTTTAGAGAACTCTATATATGCTTCCAACTTGGCCTCGTTTCTTTTAAAAAACCTAACTCTTTTAAAATTCGATCTTAATTTTTAAAAAATTGACCCTTGTATCAAATTGAAATGAATTGAAGCTACTTGGATAATAATTTCTATGAAATAATTATTTATTATGATTTTATAAAGGAAAATTGATTTTTGAGATAATAAGAATTATTTATCAAGAATATGCTTTTGAGAAAATTATAAAAATATTTTTTTGTAAGAATTAACACTTGTGAGATGTTTACAACAAATTTCCTACGAAAAATAAAAGTTTTATATTTTCAAGTTCCATTGAAAAATACTAAAATTGGGAAAATTAGGAAAATGAATTTTTAAATCATCTTGAAGGATTCTAACACTCTACAAAAGTGTTTATTTAGGATTGATTGAAGGATAGAATGATTATGCACTAATTATTTGGCATGTGAACGTTGCTAAAACTTATGATAATTGGAGTTTAAGACTTGTTATTGAATGTTTAAGAATAAGTATTGAAGATAATAAATTTTAAGTTAATAATGATACAAAATGTATTATTTTTATACACTATCAATTAATAATAGGATGACATCTTATTTAATGAATAAAAACTAAACCTTTAAGTACTTAAAAATAAATATTATTAAATTTATTTAGGGTTAATTAATTATTAGAATTTTGCCTGATTTTTTTTTTCTGCTTCCTCTCTCTTCAATATTTTGAAACCTTCACACCCATTTCCAATCTTATTATTTTGACTGCTTTACTCAAATTTTTAATCTCTTCGGTCGATCTTGTTATAGGATTTACAATTTAAAATATAGGTTATATGGGTCTACTCTTTTTTTTTTTTTTTTATCATTAGAAAAGTAAATAAGTCTTTTTAATCATTTTAAAGATAATTTGAAATGAATTTCGGAATTTGAAACCAAGAATTTTTAATACAAATTTTTGCTTCTATATGATCTAAAGGTGTAATCAATAAAATTCGAATCAATACAATATTAAGCTCGAGTTTAATTTCAATTTTAAATTCGAGGCTTAAAACTCGGCTCGAATTAGATCAAGTTTTATTTTTTTAGTTTGAGCTCAACTTGAAATAAAAATTGAGTTACTCGAACTCATTCTATCAAGCTCAATTAACATATACAAATAAGCTCGATTCTTATATTCAACAAAAACTCGATTATTTATGCTGGAGTTTGAACTCGAGTTTGAGATATTTTATCAATTAAAATAATAAAAATATATTAAAATATAAAAACTTGATTAAGCTCGTGAACTACCGAATCAGGTATAAAAATACTTCAACTCGATTCGATCAATAAATTAAACTATTCGAGCTCGAATTCAACTCAATAATAATCGAATCTTATTTGAATTTTATTCAAATTAAATCCAAATAGCTTACGAGTACTAATGTATTATTTACACCCTTAGTCTAACCTTTTTCATTTCCTTTACAAATTAACAAAAGCCCAATCAAACATTCTTACAGAAATTGGCAAAAAGAAAAAAAAAATCTAAAGTTGCCATACTTTTATCATTGATATTTGATATCATCTCATTTTCAGATAAATCGCCATACTTGAAAAATCTACTCCTATCCTAACCATAACTTAAAATCGGTCTTTACAATTAATCTTTCATCCAAAAGGTTCTTATGTATCTGTTTTGAAAATATTTTAACTGAAAATCTAAGTAAATGATTAACTTGTGAGCAGCAAATCTATAGAAAAAATAATGATGATCCGCCTTTGTTTTGAAAAATAATTTCTACCTTTGTAACTACGAGCGAAACAGTCGAAATAACAAGGTTGGAAATGGGTGCGACGTTTTCAAAGTGTTGAAGAGGAAAGTAAAAATACAAATTAGGAGGGAGCAAAATTTTAATAATTAATTAATTTTAAATAAATTTAATAATATTTATTTTTAAGAATCTAAAAGTTTAATTTTTATTCATTAGATGAGATATCATCCTATTATTAATTAACAGCATATTAGAGTAAATATAATCAATGTATCAAATATTAACTCATAAATTCTTGTAACGAGATTCAAAATTTTGGAAACTGTATTTAAAAAAAAAAAAAACTTGAAAACTATATGAATTATGGCATGTTATATGTGAGAGATTTGATTTCAAATATTATTTGGGGATTAAATAATTTATTGAAATGTGAAAAAGTTAAAAATAAGTAGTCTTACATATGGAAGGTAAGTAGATTTGGATGGGGGCAGGGGGGCATGACATGAATAATGGCAGCATGTTGTCAGAAAAACTTTGTATAAAAAAGTTAAAAATCAATTCGACTCCTTGAGAGTAGGGGTGTAAACGAATCGAGTTGAGTCGAATAGTGAGAAGTTTGAGTTCGAGTTCGAGTTCGACTCACAACTCGGATTTTGATATTTGATTTGAGTTCGATTCGTGATCGAATTTAAATTATTCGAGCTCGCTCGATTAAGCTCGATTAAACTCGATTAATATGTAAAAATAAGTTCGATTCGTATATTCGACAAGAGTTCGATTATTTATGTTTGAATTCGAACTCGAACTCGAAATATTTTATTAATTAAAATAATAAAAAAATATTTAAATATAAAAGCTCGATTAGGCTCGCGAGCTACTCGAGTCAGATATAAAAATACTTGAATTTGACTCGATCGATAAGTCGAGCTACTCGAGCTCGAGCTTGACTCGACAATAATCGAATCGAATTCGAATTTTTTTTAAATCGAACCCGAATAACTTGCAAGTACTAATGTATCATTTACACCTCTATTTGAGAGCAAAAGTATTTATGAGTTAGTTCGAATCATATTTTTATTTAATATTAATAGTTTATATATTTATTTAAGTTTAATATGATCAGAAATTTCAAATCTTAAAATCTCTATGTAATGAAAGCTCTACCAAATTAACTGAATCAGAACATCATGATTGGATGCCATCTTTTGTTTTTTTCGTTCTTTTTTTTTTTTTTTTTCACAAATATCCTAATTTATATAGAGGGAATTTTTTGTATACCAAAAGACCATATTAAATCTACTAAATCATGCAAGACAATAATGTTTTAGTGAATCTCACATATTGTAATTTTTTTTCTTTTTTTTTTTTATAAAGAAGTCACAACCTAAAGATATGAAAAGAAATTGTAGGTAATAGAATTTAAATTTTAAATTTGCTAGTTATCACTTTTTAATAGTGACAACATGATCTGAGTTAAACTCCAACTTCTATATATTGAATAAGAAAATTTTCCACTTTCTTCTCTCTTAATAACATGAGTAATAAAAGGCGATTGCAAGAGTAAAAAGAAATTATAAACTCTATTGATTACAAACAAAAAAAAAAAAAAGGATGCCAAGTCCACATTACAAGGTAAAAGTAAAATTGGACAAGGCCAGCTACAGACAAGATGGACAACCTAAATCTGTGATAAAAAGAAAAAAATTGAGACAGATGATCTAAGAAATTTCATGGAACTGGATAAGACTTGTTGTTGCAAATGCACTTGTAAGCCATAGGACATGTTTCAGCTTCTTCCAGCGATGCACATACAAAGCTCACCATAACTAGTCTGCAGGGAGTGCACGAACCACATGCATGTGAGCAGTCAGGCAAGCTTGATCCTGCTATCTGTAACGTGTCTGCTCCCTTTCTTAGCGCCATAGGCCTTCTTTTCCGGTATGAATAGGGTTCTGCGACCATCCCCTCTCCTGTGCTTGGCTGAGAATTGTGGCGCTGGCTATGATCTGTTGCACAATAAAAAATTTCAAAGATAAGAAATAGGTGATAGTGTTTCATAATTCATGCTATCGTAATTAGTAGAATTAAGACAATTTTGGAGAGAATCATACGTACATGTTCGTAGCCGCCTTACATGCCTTGCAGACGTGAAAACAGGAATACAGAAGAGAATGACGACAATTGCAGCAACACAAACAGAAGGTTTCATGGCTATTTTATTATTGTTAGTCACTTTCTATTCTTGCTGTTGGCCGTTGCCCTCACTAAGCTTGGCAAGTAAAGGATTAAGAGGTAGATGGGGTAAGGAAAAGAGTGAAGTGGATGAACATATTTAAATGGGTAGCGAAAAAAGAATGGTATTGAAGCAAATCACAGGCAAGCGTATGGAAGATGGAGTGCGATAAGAAGAGGTCACATGAAAGAGGGTGCAGGGGAGGGAGGAGGGTCACAGGAGTCTTCAAGCCAGCTTTGGTGGTATTATAGAAGAAGGGTGATAAAAGTTGGAAAGAATTATACTGAATTCAAGTGCTTCTTTTTACGTGAATCCTGACTTGGAATTTGCTCGGCATACATATAACAATAAATGAATGTTTAGTTATTATTATAGAGTGTAAACAGATATAGAAGCTAATAAATTTCGTACTGACGGTCAATGTGACTGCAATTAATGTTTCTGCTCTTACTACGTTGTTCATGGACTCAATGAGCTTTGGAGTTGGGCCTTTTTTTCTTTTATTGGTTACAATGGCCCATACAACTTTGTTCTACCCAAATCTTGGGCATAATCCAAAAACCAAGTGGGCTAAGATGCTTAGGTAGAAGATTTTATGACACTCCAAGAGTTGTTGAAAGACCCAGACGATGTAGTTCAGCCTCATGGCTCCGCCGCTTTCCAGGAGATGGCTAGAGCATCCAAAACAAAGGTTTGGTCTTGGGTCATCTTTAATTAAAAAGCAAGCCTACTTAAATTTATAGACACTGGATTTAATGGAACAACCTTTTTTTTTTTTTAAATTTTATTTTGGTACTCAATAGAGAATAGTTTTGATGGTCAAATCATATATAATATTATATTATAAAATATATAAATATTCGATAAAAGTCTGGAAGTTTGCGTAGATAAATTATATTTTTTATGCATAAGAAGTTATCTCAAATAATTTTCTTATTTAGATTACTTTTAAATTGTGACCAATATAATCTAATTTACATATATTATATCTTTTTAAATAAAATTTTTAATAATTTAAATATATATTTTTTAATTTAAAATTTTCAAATATATTATTTTTTTAATTTAATAATTTAAATTTAAATTTTTTAATTTTAAAAATCATAACCTTTGAAGAAAATGATTGAATAATAAATGACTTATTAAGCCATTAGTTTAGTGGTTAAAGACGCTTGAGAGAACATCAAAAATTTAATTTCGATTCAAATTTTTCATTTTTCTTATTTGTATTAGGACTTTGTCTTCTTGATATAACAAAAAAAAAATGATCTTATCGGTGCTTAAATAAATGTTTCCTCATGTGTCCTAATTTAGGTTGGCTTCTTAAGGTTCATTATGTACAAAGTTTGATATTTAACAAAGGCTAAAAAAAGTTTCCAAATTGATCTTCACTGTCATCTACTCTAGACTAGTAAGGCCCTTGATCATCACCTATAATGGGCTACCGACAGAAAGGGTTCAACTTTAGTGGGAGTATTTCGCTAACCCAAGCGAAGGCACTATAACCTCACAAAAAGCATAGGTATTCTACTCTCTCCTAAAAAAGGACAAATTTGAAGCCCGGTATAAAGTTCATGCATGAATGCAAACATGCACATGTGTGAGGGAATGCAGCAATTGTTAATCAAAATAAAATCAACAATATAATTAGAAACAATATAAAACAAGTAAAATAACATAACAAAACTAAATGAAACCATTAAAATTTTACCTTTTTTATTTTTTGTTTTGGAATCATATTTTTATTTTAAGATGAAATAAAGAATTAAAATTAAATATTGAAAGACTATAAAATCAAAGTTTGGATGGCACATGTTTAATTTTTGGCTTGACTCTTTAGTTTCCTAGCGGAGTTGCCAAGCTTTCATAACGATTTTTCATTCGGAGGACTAGATTGCTAGACTTGATGAAAATTTTCAGAGTTGCCACTAATATTTTTGGTATGGTGTGATTGGCCACCCAAAAATATCATCTTTTAATAAAAATTTTAAAATTAATTAAGATTTACTAAAAGACGTTTTAGTCTATGAAATCAAAGTTAGATCCGAAATACGATTACGTGCAAGAAAAGTGTCAGTACCCTCACGTCACTCTTTCAAAAAACGTATCAATTAAACATGTATTATCCTTTAATTTTGATGATATGGTTTTTTTCATATTTAAATTTAATTTTCTAAAATTTATTTATGAAAAACATTTTTTGTTATGAAATTAGTATTATTATTATTTTATTTTATAAATTCTTCAACGTTTTGACAGAATTTATTAAAAATCTTTATTTAGATAACATTTTAAGAAAATTAACCATTCACAGAATTCTCAAATATTTTGTTTATTTATTATAACTAATTTTGGAATCATCTTGACTCTTTGGCAAAATCCTAAAAATTTAAATTGGATTTTAGGATCATTCTAACTTTCTAACAAAATTCTAAATAAAATCATTCTTTATTGATGATAGTTAAAAAAATGAGATTTTTTCAATTTTTCTTAAGATTCTTACTCAAGAGATTTAATTAATAGTTAAAATTTTTTTATTGTTTATTTATTATCATTTATCATTTATTATTCTCATCATTTTTTTAAAATAAATTCTTATTTAGTGAAAAAAATCTTTTGGATTATCTTAACTATTTGGTGAAGTCCAAAAATATATATTTTTTGTTAAGAGATTCATTTAAAGAAACACTTTTTTATTATTTATTATTTTTATATTGTTTATATAAATCTTTATTCTAGTAAAAATCAATTTTAGATTATCCCAACTTTATGATGAAATTTGAAAATTTTTTTTTACTTGTAATGATTAAAGAAAACTAAACTTTTTCAATTTTCTTTAAAAATTACATTTAAAAAATTTATTTAAACATACATTATTTTATTACTTTTTATTTTATTATTATTTTTTAACAAAAATTATTTTTTAAATTATTTTAACACTTTGGTGAAATTTAAGTAACATTTTGCTTGCAACAAAGTTTCAATTTTCCTTAAATAGTTATTTTTTTATAAAGATTTGTGCATTTTTTTATTTTACCAAATCTACATTTTATTTTAATTCTATTTTTATTTTTTTACTTATTTATGAAAGAATGAATAATAATAATAATAATAATAATAATAATAATATCATAGAAAATAACCAAAAAAATCAACACAATATAAATAAACTAAAAAATCAAAATTAAAAAAATAAAAAAATAAAAAAAGGAAAAATTGACCAAATGGGTCTAGTCAAGCATGAGTTCACACGCAAATCTTGGCAGGTCACTCAATGGGTTTAAATGTCAAAATAGCATGGTTTTGAAGCGCTTATAAAAGGCCAAAATTAGTTTTTTTTTTCTTTCACCTCTCTCTTTACCCTAGAGGCCCTTTCTCTAGAAATTTTTTTCCTTTTGTTGACCACCATGTAATCCCAGTTTTCAGTTAGTTGCCACTATGCTGTTGTCGAAAACTTCAATCGGCCTAAAAAAATTTAAATAGTTTGCAGATTCTGATAGATTTTTTATATTTCGATGGTTGAAAAATTTAACCGATCATTGAAAAATTTAAACTTTTCTAATTTTTAGTGACACAAAAAAATTCAAAAAAATTTCAAAAATTCTTAAAACAATCCTTTTGATCTCTTGAACATCTTTCTTAAAAGACTTTATATATATATATATATAAAATAAATGCCAGATCAAAATACTTTATTATCAAAAATTTTTTTTTTTGTTTTTAAAAATTTTTTTGACTTTGCTGCTAGTTCCTCTTCTGGGAGGACTATGGTGTTTTTTTTGTTTTTTGTTGTGCTTGTGTGTGTGAATGGCTATAGCCTAGTAACCCCCCAAAAAGATTGCTTTATGTGTTTTTTTTAGTAGTGTTCCCTTTGGTTCCCCATGTTCATTTTGATTGCCAAAGCTAACTCTATTTATAGAGCTAATTAGGAGATCAAATTTTCAGATTTTTTTGGATTTTTGTGGACTTTCTAGGATTATTATCAGCTTTGTTGGAATCTTAGAGGCCAAAAGTTAGGCAAGGAAGTTGTCAGAAAAGTTAGAAATTTCAATGGAGATTTTCAATGTATTAAATGCACTATGACTTTGGTGAAGGAAGATAGAAAAGCAAGGAAGAAAGGGAAAAAAAGTCAGAATTAATAATAATAATAATAATAATAATAATAATAATAATAATAATAATAATAATTTTATTTAAGTTAAACGAAACTGGACAAAATGGGTATCTACAATAAAAATGTTTGACAAGCCCTACAAATGCTCAAAATCAAGATATTATGGTAACTCTTAAAAAATAATGTGTATTTTAAGTTATCACTAATATTATTTAACATATAAATGATAATTTCTTGTAAATATATAACTTATCTTTATTTAATATAAACTTGCAAGATAATAAATATTACTGTCGATAAATATGGTATAAATTATAGAAATTTAATTTGGGAGACTTTTATTTATTTTTATCATTTTGTTGTTACTCAATAATATTGTTTATTATATATATGTATGATTTTGTTTTTTTTTTTTTTGAAAAATTTATTTTAATTTGACATCTCATCATAAATAAATTATTTTATATATGTTATAACTCCGAAGATTTTGATATAACTTTTTAAAAAATGCTTATTTATATATATAAATTTAAATAAATCAAATTAATTCGTACATTGCATGGATAGTAAACTATTTATCATATATTATTATTCTAACTGTATAACAAAAATAGCACAAAGTAGAGTACCATTGTTCTCTCCTATTCACAAGCAGTCCCCTATTTGATGTTTTGGTTGCGATCTTTGCAAAGAACAAGCACACTTAATATTTCTTTTTTTTTTTTTTATTGCTCTCTAATTCCTCGATATTTTACTGTTTTATTGTTGAAGATTTCAAGTTTCTAAACCCATCTCCTTAACATGCACCAGCTCCGTTTTTCCTTTTTTATTTTCTCCCTTGTTTTTTACATTTCTTTATAATTTATT